CGGAACAATAATCAGAGCTCGGGAAGTTTGTCCGTTTTTTCTTTCCCATACGCGATGCAAGCAGCCAGACACTAACTTTAAACTATTCTTTTGTGCCCAATAAGCTTTTGCAACTGGGCTTTCTGCAGCTATTTCTCCTCTCGTTGGACGTTTATTCATCTCCAATCCATGTATTACACATTTCAAATCTGGATCTTCTTGTCGACATTTTCGTAGTTCCTCCGGATCCCAGTATGATGTTATTGTCAGTAGTCGGACATCTATAATGTTTTCTTTGGTCTCAACTTTCGAGCAATGTCTGCATTCCAAATTACAGGGGCGGAGACATGGCATCAGCATTTCCATGACTACTACCTTTGCGATATTTTCTATAGAGTAGTCGTAACTTTGAGTCTCTAAATCCACCGCGCCAACTGTCCTTCCGGGTTCCTAAATTGTAGAAGCTCTTTTTTTCACCCGAAATCGCTGTCTATAAAGGTACATATGAAAATGTTTGATACACTTCACCAACGCCAGTAATTCCGTCCGCGTTACACAATAATTCCTCTCCGGCTTGCTTATTGTCTGGCTGTAATACGCAACTACTTTCTCATGTCCAAAATTTGGAACGAATCGTCGATAATAAGTACAAAAACCAAGAAATCTCCGCAATTCATGTAAATTTTTAGGAGTGGGCCAGTTTTTTAATGCCTCTAACTTTTCTTTAGCTATGCAATTGCCCTCCGTTGTCACTTTGTGTTCTAAGTACAATAGTTGACTTCTTTTTTGTAAAGGGAACATTTCCTCGGGCTCAGCTTTCGACCAGCGCTAGCTATCCGTTGAAAAACTCATTCCAAGTTCTTAAGGTGTTAATCGAAGCTTTTACCCAACATGATGATATTATAGAGATATAACAAACAGGTCTTCCAGTGCAATTTTAATACCTGGTCCATAAGTCTCTCAAAGGTAACAGGAGCAGTACATAATCCAAAGGGCATTATGGAAATTACCATAGACAATCTCCAACTCTGAAAGCCGTCTTTTCTTTGTCTTCTTCGTTTACCTCTACGTGCCAGTAACCACTTTTCAAATCATGTGTTGAAAACCATTTTATGCCTGATACGGAGTCCAGCCTGTCATCGATATTAAGTAGTGGATAACTATCTTTCTTCGTTACATCATTCAACCGAGATGAGCTCCATTGACCTCGAAACTGTTGTTACAGTCGGAGCATTGTCACGTACAAAGATCGCGCGAAGTTTATGGGCAGTATCTGCGTAGCACTCTCCGTTTTTGTAATGAGTTTTCACGATAAGAATGCGTTCCTCGATACTAAACCGCTCCTTGGCTACAAAATGGAAAAACGTGAAATGGTCTTCTAATCGGAGTGATAATAGATATCGAAAATAATAGGAACAGTGCTCACAATCTTCAAACCAAAAAATCCCTCGCAATTTAAAAATTGCGTACTTTATGAAACACCCTATATATACATACAATGTCTCTAGACGAGCTCTCGAGTACTCCGCTATTAATAATTAGTAACATTTTATTAACTAATGATATTATTTGTATTTTAACTTAGTAAATGTATATGGTATAGTTTTGTAATTGTTTAAAAGAAGTAAAAGAAATTATACCAGATGTGTCATGGAGTGAACTAGTTTTCATTATCATTTAATAGCCACCAGCAGTTCTGTTTCGTCAAAGTTGTTTCAGTTTTGTCTCTAAACGAGATGTATGTGTCGAATCGCTTGTTTTCAGCAGTGAGTATATTTGAAGTGACTATTTTGTTGTTAGCTCTTCTAAATATGTGATAGATTATTGGGATGTTGTCTTCGTTTTGGATTAAACCATTTTTGTTCAAGTAGAGAAAGGATTCTGAAGGTGCAAATCCGTTTGCAATAGCTAATGCAAAGTAGTTATCTCTTTCGTAAAAAGGAGCTCTTATTAAAGTATTATTGTCATCTTATAGTTACACTTTCAACCACCACATCATCAGTACCACCAACGATTAGTCCAATTCATCACAAGCAATAATAAATACCATTAATCCAGTATTTAAGACAACGGACACCGGACACTAAATCCGACACCAAGTTGATAACATAACATACATACATACTTATGTATAACATAATTTGACACCAAAGCAATAACATACATACTTACGTATAATAGAATTCGACACTCAATGCATGGGCAGTAGACATAATCGGTATCTTTAAAGACATCCGATTCTAAAATAATTGGACACCAAACAGTTACGTTCTTTTGAAGTTTCGCCAACAAGTGAGGTTGTGCAACTATGAAATCCAAAGTGATCAAATTATCAGTGAGGGATGAAAGTATAAAAGACACAGCTTGACATTCTACAAGGACAGTTGATTTTTAATACGATACAGATAACTCAAGTGTGCCCAGGATAAAGGACTATGATCCAACATTAAGGACTACGATCCCAGCATTAAATACTAAGGACAAGGATCCAGCACCAACTTCCCTAATCCAATAAGTATCTTTAAGCACTTCATAAAACTTATTCTTAACTTGCAGCTCTTTAATAAACAACGATTTATAAGAGACAAACGAATCTTTTAATTCTCATAAAAATAAAATAGACTTGCAACGCAAAGCAGGCAGCAAAAAGATACGGAGGAAGAAATGTCGACATCAGAGCAATCAGTACAACAAGGACCTGTAGGAAACACGATGAAAATTAAATTCGACCCGCTAAAATTCATCAATAGAATGGGTGAGTATAATGGTGGAAATACTGCAGAGTTCGTACAGTTCGTGAATAAAGTAAAGTTATTACTACATAGTAT